AATCCCAGTGGGGGGGAATATTAGTGGATAGATATTAAAAAAATGCATACATGTTCCATCTAACTTCCATGTATAGATCCTAGCTGTGAAAGCAGATTAGGTATTTAGATGTTCAAATGGACTGTAAGATTCATAACTGTTGATTTGCATGCACAAATATTTATGCAAGCAATTTAATGAACACAATAAGCACAGTCAGGCATGCTTTTTGAAAACTGCCTTGTTTTCGAAAATGTCTTGTTAGTTGCTTTAAATATATATACGAGCTGGATTTTAAAATCAGACTCTCAAACTGAACCCATATGTTGCCTGACCAAATTTTCACATGAAAAAAATGAGCAAGTGGAAATTGAATTAGAGCTTAAATTGCATTGAAACTTGGCTGTGGAAAAAAAGAGGCACTGCAGTGGTTGCAAGTGTCTGATTAGTGCTTCTTTGAAATTTTGGCCGGTAATGTATGCTTAACCAGAGTGTAAGCTTAATGACCACATTTTTTTTTGTTCTAAAGGGATGACGCTTGCATGGGTTAAAAGGCCAAAAACATGGCTTGGTTTTTGTCTTATCTGTTTGCTCTGGGAGGGGAAACCGTCTGGGAAGGGAAAGCTGACAGTTCTTTTAACATGCATATTTTGACATTAATAGATTTATTAATATTTTGGAGCTGTGCAGGTTTCGGAGACATTGCACACCTGTTGTGGTTATGCAGCAGAATCTGAGATGCCTAAAATAAGCACATATTTGCCTTTTCCATTAGCAGCGCAGGAAAAAAGCGTGGTTACAGGAAAGCTGCACGTGGATACCGATACAGTACCTTTTGTGGGGTTTAGTAAAACTGAATACTGCAGTCTTAGGTCTTGCTTCTTGGGGTTCTGACTTAATCAGGTCTCCTAAAATCGCTATGTAAACCCACCCCCAAGTCCTTTGGCTCCTTAGGGTGGACTAGGCTTTGAGAAACTTCACCATTAGGTATGGGGGAATCCACTTGCCCATCAGATCTGCTGAGATTGGGCAAGAAATAAGGCAGGCCAGCCCTCATATGAACTCTATACACATTACTGGACAAGATGGGGAGGGAGGAAGAAAGATGCTTCCCTTGTATGGTAGAAATTTCATGGTCAAGATAGCTTCCAGGCATAAAGCAGTATTGATCCCCTTTCTGGCACCATGTCATACGCAGTACAAATCATCCAAGCTGCAGAGGTTATATGCTAAGGAAGAGTAGGGCTGTGGCCATGATTGTATGGAAAGTTGTCTGTCCATGTCCTAACAGGTTTAAAGTCATGTAAAAATAAGTCCATTCTTCTTTGTCAATTTTTCCAACAGAGAAGGAGACCTTTCTGGATCCCTTTGTGCTGAGAGACCTGCTGCCAGCATCGCTGGGGAGTTACTACCGCTACACAGGCTCTCTGACAACTCCTCCGTGTAGTCAGATTGTGGAGTGGATAGTTTTTCGCAGACCTGTTCCTATTTCTTACCATCAGGTAGGTGTATGCTACCGTAGAGGCTCTTGCTTGATTTGCCCTCAGGGCACTGTTCTGAAAAACTGACATTCTCATTCGGAGAACAAAAGCCAAAGAGTTCTGTTGACTAAAAAATAAATAGTGGTGATTATATCTATCTCTATCTATATCTGTCTATATAGATAGAGATAGATATAGATATCTATATAGATATGGATATCTATATGTCTTTATCTATAGTTATCTGTATCTAGAGATATATCTATAGATATCTAGAGATATAGATATAGATTTTTTTATAATATTGTTTCTGAACAGGAGCCATCAGCCTTAGGAAACAATGCAACGGAAACCCAATTTCCTTCCAATGATTTAGTCTGTATTGTTTGAGTAAGATAAAAATAAGCCATGGTGTAAATATTTGCAGAGAATCCTTCTTTTACTCTTTCAAACTGCAGCTTTCTTTGGGAAGTAAATGAGTAACCTCAGGTTGAGCTAATTACGCTAGGAAAGAAGCAGTTCCTTTCATTTCACCATCTTTAACTGTTTTTAAAACAGGGTGAAGCTGCCATTATGTGCTTACAGCACAGATATACGAATCTTTAAAATTAGCACATCACAGCTTTTACTGTAGATCGAGGCAGTGCCTGGAATTTGTATTGAGAGGAAATACCACAATAAAAAAAGATCCGTCTAGTCCAGTGTTTAACAATTAAATACATGTTGATGTTTTAAAACCATTGTTTTACAGGTAGATTTTCTGTTGAAATCAATCTTTCCTTTTATTTACTGGCGTTTTGCTTTAGCTGTTGAAAAGAGACTTTTGCAATAAGCTGTTCCTGAATGACTGAAGCCTCTCAATATTTCTGTCGGCAGTATTAAATGCAGTGAAACGCCATCGAGTAATTAGTGGTTTCTTCTTAATTACAGTAGCATGTAGTTAGCCAAGCATCATAGCTGCAGAGTGCCAGTCATCGTTCACCCAGTAAAAAGACTGCCCTGTACCAAAGAGCTTGCCTCTAAGACGCTGGGTCCCAACCTCATTGGACTTGAGGCCCCTCTCGTTTTACCTAGGGCACCCCGCAGAAAATGCCAGCTCTTCGCTGTCATTCATCTTTCAAATGCAGGACAATCATAGAAGAAAGGAGGAGGAAAGCCCATGGCAGGCCAGAATGGTTGCGACGCTCTGATGTCCTATTTAAAATCTCTGGATTGATCTCATGAATCACGTTTGCACTCTCAACCATGCTAACCTTAAGGATCTCAAGACACCGCGGGGTGCTGCAGCCCCTAGTTGAGAATTGCTGCTTTGGGGATATGATGAGGTGCAACAGATGGATGAATAGTTCAGGAGGGCAGCGAAGCAGAAGTGAGGAGGAGGAGAGGTGACTTGCTCCTAATTCCTTAAGAGCTCTTGTTAGTTCTTCTTGGTGCATTGTTTTGAACGGATAGTTTGTAGAAAGGAAGAGATGGCAGGTCTCGTGGATGCGAGAGGCTTACCAGCCTAGGAATGTGTTGGTTGTGTGAATGAACCACATGAATAAATCGTGTCTCCTTTCTTTTGGGGGCTGCCTCAAAGTGCATGTGAACCGCAAGAGGCTTTTAACCTCCTGCTGGAGTTTGCGATACCTGTGGAGTGACGGGGGGGGGGACTAGATGACCCCCGTCCAACCCTAATTCTCTATGACAGACAGGTCAGTAGCCAGTTCCTTGACTAAACAGCCCAGGGCTCTGGTCCTTATTCACTTTTGTTCTGCTCTAACCAGGGGTGTGAGTGTCTACCATTGTAGTTAAAATGGTGCAGACAGGTATCATTATAGCGGCCTTATCCCAGTCTATCTCAACTCTTCCCAGAGAAGAATAGTTGTACCAGCAAAAGCACCTGTATAGCAGCATACTGGAGGATTTTGCTGCTTCACCTATACAAAGACACAGCAGTATGGCTTCTGTGTTTGTAGACAGGCTTACAATAATGCAATACCAGGAAACATAGAATAATAGGATTATTTCCCCCAGCAGCTCAAGGTAGACATATACTTAGAGATGTAGGTGCCATCACAGCCAATACTATAATTATGATGTGTTCGTTTTATTGAAGCACTATAGCAGAATCTATTTCCATAGTTTAACTTCCTTTATCGCAAGCTGTATGAAACAGCCCATGCCCCCACAGGGGGAAAGTGATATTATTTAAGCCTTGTTGCAACTCCAATTAAATCCTTCCTGTTGTGCAACGAATCTGGCTGTAAAACTGACAGTACGAAAAGTGGTCCATTTGTGGAGGCTTCTGCATTTTTGCCTTTAATGCTCCATCATTGTCATCTCACCCAATAATTAGCCAACAAAACAGGACACGCCGTGTCACCCCGCAGAATCATTGTGAGGCTAAGTGCATTCAGTGACCCAAAGCATGACATTATCTCTCATAATGCATACCTCGGAGTATCTTATTGTAATTATAATGGATTCAGCTTTTTAATTGCCATTTAGATATCCACCCTCAGAAAACTGTGCTCATCCGGGTTTTAATAGTTTATAATTACATGACTTTGGGTTTTAAAACAGGTTTCCCCTTACCAACAGTGGTGTCCTGTTGGTTTTTTATTCCTTCTTCTGAATAAGATCTCTCACTCTTTTTGAATGGCATGAACACAGCTTCTTCTTTTGCTTCCGGCTCTCTGAGATCAATTAAAATCTAATTTGTGGTAGATAATATTTTTATAATAAAAGTGAAGTTGAAATGATTTATGCATTCTTCGGCATGCAAAAAAAGAGAAAAGAAAAGTTGAAATTGTCATTGCAGCAGCAGCAGTTAAAAATGCAGCTACACCTCCCCAAGGCAGCCTGGGAGAAGAAAATATTTTAAAAGCTCTCAAGTTTAAAAAATCAATTTGCCATCAAGGAAGTATAAGCTTAAAGGCTTAATTTAGAGTGAGCAGTTGGTACCTAAGTCCCTGCTCTTGAGTGGAGTTACACAACTGCTTAGCTTCCAGCGCTGCTCATAGCTGCATTGACTTCAACAGGAAATCTCCTGGCACAGCGGTTCCCAATCTGTGGTCCACGTTATACCAGCATTACAAAGACAACCTGTCAGTGGTACGCGTTAACACATTTATTATAATTACTCTATATGACAAAAATATGCTGGTGGTACTTAAGGTTGAACTGAAAAATGTGCAGGTGGTACTTAAGGTGGTATCATTTTAAATTAGTGGTGCACAAGCCGAGTTTGGGAACCACTGGTGCATAGATTTGGTAAGGTGCGTCAGTCCCTGCAGATCTCGGGCCTGAGAAGGATTAGCCAAACCAAATGTTTCTCCCTGCCTCCCTCCATAAGAAAACGGAGGTGTCCTATTTAGTTTGTCCCTTTTGGGGAAGGTAGCAAGAAGGCTACTTCTAACTCATCCCTACCTCATGCTTGTCTAGCCTCTTGCAGCTCCAGGAAAGATGCTGCACCTTTCTCGGGCAGTTCGTTCCACTGCCGCCCTGATGCAACAGTAAGGAACTTCTTCCTGAGGTCTAACCTGTAATGCACCTAATTTTTCTTGCCTAGACAGGTCCCATGCCCTGCATGGAGAGCACTGCAGCATCCTCCCCTTGCCTGACTTGAGCAGGGGGTTGTCCTGCTTCCTTCTCACCGTTGGTGCTTGAATATGTCAATAATATACCTGTCCCTTAAAGCAGCAGGGGGAAAAACAAGCTGAATTGTTGAGCCAGGCAGGGAACACATTTAGAGTGCTTTCAAAATTGTGCATGAAAAATGAGAGAGCTGCCTGTCCCTCCTGCTTGCAACCAGAAGTTCCAGCCGGGACCCAAGAAACCTTCCCGGTGAACCTTTCACCAGACATGAGGCATTTCCACGAGCGATTGTGGTCTCAGGGATTCAGCATTTTAACAAGAGCCAAGTATTCCTGAGCAGCTCGGTGGTGTGCATTTGACTAATTGGACGTCTCCTGCGTTCCCGCAAAGGAATGGATCCGTCTGAGCTGTGCTATCCTACCGTTCAGTGCGGACTGCACGGTCCCATTGATCACGCAGCCTCACTTTGCATAAGTCTCCCCAGCTGTAAAGCCAGGCTAGGATTTCAGAGAGTTGAAAAACTGTTTGCAAGAGGAGTTGAGATCTGACGGCCTTTGTACAAAGAGCTGCCTACATGTTAATTTTTTAGTCTGCTCCTGGGTGCAGAGTTTTTCACTTTCTTAATCCAAAATTGCAAGACTCAGGATTTAACAAATCCCTTCCCCACGCTCGCTGATCAGCTTTGGGCTGCTCCCCATGCCGTAATTCTAATGGTCGTCTCAAATTAGCAGGCCCAGCACACCGCTGCACTCCAGCAGCACTCACTGTTGAAATGAAATGTGTAACATTGACTCTGTCCTGCCCCGAGGGTCAGGAGAAGTTTTACAGATTTCCGTTTAATAGCTAGTATTGTCAGAGCACAGCAGAACAAGTGCACTGGACAGCAGCAGAAGAATGGGGGTTTCAATTTTACTGATCTGGAGGGAAACGAAATGATTTTAGTTGGGTGCCCCTGATTCAGCATGGAGCCCTTAACGGGTCTGCCGAGCTTTGCCTTTGATTTCTTTCTTTTTTCTTTTCTTCTCTTTTTTTTAATCTAAGCTATCAACTGGAGCTATGATGTGGTTGACAATATTTTTTTTCAGGTCATTAGTTTTGAAACTGTCACATCCTTCTCTGTAGCTCTTAGGGCAAATGCACTTAATGAAAAGAAGAAGTCTCTAGCTTTCAAATCGTGGTCTGTCATTAAGCTATAAGAGCAATTCAAGTTCTCTCTAAATCTTGGGGCCACATCCTGCTCCCGCAGAAATCAATACTATTGACTTCAATGGGAACAGGATTGGCTCTTTTGTATTGCTCTGTCTAGCTCAGCCTTTCTTACAACGATCTGCCTAATTCTAGTTCTGGAACTGAAAGATAACAAGCTATTAGTAAATTCTGCGCTGACCCCAGCAACCTACAGAACAACCAAGTTAACTGAAAATCTTTTCCATTTAATGTGCCAGTAGTTTTTCTCTAAGAAATTTTGAGACATTATGTGTTTTTTTTTCCCTTAATAGAAAATATATAAGAGACATAACAACAGTTTCAGCTTGTAGGTTAAGGCATCATGTTTAAAAATAGCCCAGATCTGAATGCAGCAGCTACGTCCTCTCCTGGAGAGAATATAAAAAAAAAATGTACCTAGCATGATGATGACACATGAGATTAATACAAGGAATATGGCTTAGGTTTTCTCACGTTGTCATGAAGTTGAGGGGAGAGAGCATGTTCCCGTGCCCAGGACAATGTGCCAGGACTCGGGGCACCTGGGCTCTATTCTTGGCTCTGCTCCTGCCTGGCTGCTTGAGTTTGGGCAAGGCGTTTGATGCTTATGTTTCCCCACTTTAAAAAAAAGGAGGGGGGAGGATGATACTGGCCTTGAGATCCATCTACAAAACACCTCAGAATAAAGGGCTGCATTCAAAAGACAGAACAAATGCGGATCGCTTCTTGGGGGAATATTAAAAAGCAGAACGATTGAAGCAAGAATGTGGGGGTGGGGTGTCCATTTGCACACATCATATTCTTTAAGACGATGAAAGCTAAGGACAAATGTTTTCATGCCCATTTCAGACTCATAGGGGTTTCTTAAGTGTTTTCTCTATTGCTTGGCAGGATAGACAGCGTGGCTAGATAAGGCTATTGGCAGTCATTTCAGTGGGCAGCCTGGTTTCCTGTTTGATTTATCAGCCTTGGCATCAGCGCTTCCTGCCATTTTACATTCTTATCAGACACCCAGATTTCACCACATTGTTTTTCTAATTAATGTTCTTTTTCTTCCCTGCCGCGATCGCTGCGTTCAGCTGGAGGCATTTTATTCCATATTTACCACGGAGCAGCAAGACCACGTCAAATCCGTGGAGTATTTGAGGAATAACTTCCGGCCACAACAAAGTCTGAATGGCAGGGTGGTGTCTAAGTCTGCTGTGAAGGACGCGTGGAGCCAAGACATGACAGACATCTTAGAGCACCCACTCGGCACGGAGGCTTCCAAAGGTAGATTAGGATTATAAACTGAATTTGCCAAAGGAGAAGGTTTTTTTTGTGTCTATTTACCAAGACCTTTCAATTCAGCAGTAGTAGAAGTATGAGGGATACACTAAAGAAATACAGTAAGTTTGGCTGGTGGGTTGTGGCTGCTTGGGCTTTGTCTTTGCGTTGCTGTACATTTATGAGTCCTTGCGTTAGACTTTCGAACACAATGCACGGTTGGACCCTGGAACTCCTTGCCACAAGATACCAGGGGGAGCAGGAGTTTAGCAGGATTTGAGGGAGGATTGAGAGTACGTATACAGATGGGCACCCAAAATCTTGCCAAGAACTTTTTTCCAACTACCCAGTTGGTCTAATAAAAGAGAACACATCTACACAAAGAAATGTCTGCGTGTGTCCATGGGCCAACACGGCTACAACCAACAACCCAGTATACAGATGACAAGAATATCTGGATTTGTTGTAGCAAGCGCTCAGTTGCTTCAGAACATGAAGTAACTGAGTAACAGAGGTTGGAAGAGACTGTCCTTGTGGACAGGTTGTTCTCAGCTTCCTTGCTGGCATGTGCCGTGTGCCTTCTTGCACAAAGTAGTTTCTGGGGCTTTCTTCCAACAGAGACTTAGACACAGAGCTCGAGGGTCCTTTGGGAAAAGAGACTGTAATAACCCACCGTCACAAACAGTCCAGGGGGTATTCCAGGCTGCAAAGAGTGCGTCAGAAATCCTGAAAGAGACCTGGAGGTAAAAACAAGAGCAGGAATAGATCTGGATGTTTGTTTTCTATTATTTTAGTGGATCAGTTTATTTGAAGATCTTGTAGGAGGCCTGATCTGTGTTTATTAATCGTTAGCCTCAAGGAGCAATCGCCACTTAAATGATCCTGCTCAGAAGTACAAGAAGGGCTCTATTTATTGGAAAGAAACAATTAAGTGGATTAACTCTGAGGCTGGCACTTTCACCTGGGTGAGCACAGACAGCGTAGCTCGTGGAGGTCGCAAATCATCAAAACAACTGAGCTCTGCAGCCCCGTCCTCCCGGGAGGGCTCTGAGCAGGCAGGACTCTGAGGGCGTTATTATTCTCTGAGTGCGCTCGCGCACACACACACACACACACACACACACACACACACACACACACACACACACACACACACACACACCCCCCTATATATGTACAGTTAAATGTATATTTGTAGCTATAACTATATATATAATGCCCACACATACACACTTATATATACGTACACACACACTTTGTATATACATACACCTTATACACACACACGCACCCACCTTATGCGTGCGCGCACACACACACGTACAGTTACGTGTATGTACATATAAGTATATATACACACACATACACACGCACGTGTGAACCTGAAAGGCAGCTCTGAGATGAGGCATTTAAGTCAGAGGTGAGGAGGTCGCATTAATCAGAAAACTCGATGCTACAATATGATGTTCTGGTTTGAAAAAATGTTCAGTCGGTCTTTTATCAGCATCCTGTGTCAATATTTATTTCTTCAGCTATGCGCTGGGTGTGTTTTATTTAGCAACGTACTTAGTCAGAAGTCAAGTAGATGGCAGGGTGCATTTGCACCTTCTAGACTAACCAAAGTAAAGATTTCATATATCTGTAAAAAACACACACACACACACACACACACACACACACACCCACACACACACACACACACCCACACACACACACACACACCCACACACACACACACACACCCACACACACACACACACACCCCCCCCCCCCCATATAGAGCTTTTGAGATATATATAGCTTTCGTGAGCTGAGACTCACTTCATGAGAGGCTGTGAAAGGACTTGCTGGAAGCAGAGCTTTATTTGCCCAGGGCAATAATGAATGTTCGCAGTTGACTTTCTGTTACCGTGACTAAACGCGCTGGGTTTATTTGGAGTGCAGTTGGGATATCTCTGTAGCACGTAATGGAATATTCCAGGAGGTTTACTGCTTTGGCCAAATGTCTGAATGTTTCCTGTCTCAGCGGATGAGTTGAAGATGATAAAAAAGTGTTTCATGGGATCTCCCCCACGCACACTGCTTATGAATAGCCGAAGCCCACAATTACAGCGGCAGGTTGCCAACGCTGAGACCTCAAGCTAATGGACTAGTCTTGACGTGTGAAGCCTTGACGTGGATGGAGCACCTGCTCCATGTCCAGGGAGTGCAGGGAAGGATGCCCGCTGACTTCACTGAGCCTTAAATCCAACCCCAAGGCCAACAAGGTGCTTAAACCTATGCCTAATTTTAAAAATGTGCCTAGTCCTTAAAAAAATGCTGCAAGTCAACCTCATGCTCACACCTCTCACCAAATGGGGACTCGGTCTCTATGGCTGAGCCCTGGTTTTCCGAGAAAACTTTACTGTGGGTGTTTTTATAACCGCTCAGGTCCAAGCAATGCTGCCCTGTGGCTGTCAAACCATCGGGGCAGGCTCGGGGTATTCCCAGCTCCGAGGAGGTTGGTCCTTGTGTCCCCTTCTCCTCCCCTCCCAACTGCTCTGACAGCGCTGCTTCTTCTGGCTTATAATGGGTGGAGAAACAGGCATTGGATGTTTTTTTTTCTCCCTATGCCTTTGCTTTTGGAGGCTGATTGCTGGGCCAGAGTCTATTTGTAGTGACTCTGTCAACGCATTGCAGCTTTTCAGACTGTGCGCGCCAGGGGACACTGGGCATAGGTGCTCTTTCATGAACTTAAAAATAAATAGGCGGCTGCAGTGTTACTAACATAAAACAGATTGTAGCACAGCCCTCCAGAGGTGATAGGGCTGAGTTATATCTGCTCCAGAGATGCAGCAACTCGAATGTTTCTGGCCTCTTCCTTGACAAAGGTGAGCAGGGAGTGAAATGCCTGGACCAGCGCACATTCAGAACTGCTGACATAGAAATAAAACGGCTCGGAGTCACAATAGCCGAGTGCAAGTGAAACCCACTGTTTATTCAGCGAGTAAATACAGGACATCTTTGTATGGTGTCATTCATGCAAACGTACCGTAGAACTGAATGCTTCGCTGCCGGATAGGATCCGGCATACAAATACAGGAAGAAAACACATTGCATTGTAGGTAGGTTCTTGCAGGGGGCTCAACGCCGCCGGATCTGGGGGCCTGCCAGCGTTTTATTAAACGGTATAACCAAGCGCTATTCTCTGACGCTCTTCCAGGATAATGCGTGCAAAGGAATGACGCCTTTGGGCATGGTGGTTTGCCTTGGTTTGCCTGGGTTGGAGTGCTGTTGGTTCATTTGGTTATTTTTAAAATATCCCTGCTGCTAGGTACTGGCCAGGGAAGATAAAACCAGAAGGTCTGAATCGATGGGGCAGTGCAGCGCCATGCTGAGGGAGGCTGTGCCCTCACCATGCGCGGCTGGCGCAGAAGCCAGAAGCGGGCGAATGCCAGTCTTGCAGTACCCCCACTTTGCAGTTAAAATAAAGTCTGCTGGGAATGTGATGTCTGGATGGTGCAGCGCAGTGAGGACGTGTCGAAGTGCAGCACTGCCTCCTTTCACGTAGACGCGAGTCTGGTACTTGCCGCAAGGCAGCGAGGCTTTAGGTCGTGCTAAGTCCTTATGGAAGTTCACATTAAAAACTTGGCATCCTATGAAGCCAGGGGCTGTCACTGAAATGCCAGCCTCTATTAAGATTTAACTCAGGTTCTTCTCTGAGATTAACACAGCCTTCTCCTTATGCTTCTCATAAAACAGATCTGTGGTAACCTTGGGAAGGGTTCAGAAATGTTTCTTTTTTATTTTTTTGGTGGCTGACATTGTGCAATGTTGTGGGGTTGCCAGCTGAAAATGTTGATTTGTGCAATGTTATGAATCTGGGAAGCAGTATACAGAATTTTTGCAAGGCCTTTTTCTTCTGTAGGAAAAGGTGTCTGGAGACAGATTGTGATACAGAATTAGCATCACACACTTAAAAGAGAAGCTCAGGTCCATGCCGAAAAATATGTGCTTGTGTGTTTACAGCCTCATGAACTGTTCTGAATAAGGCATGCGTGGATCAAGCAGCCCTGCTTTTTAGATACCAAGGCTATCTCAGATAAGCAAGTGGTAACTAGGTGGCACAACCAACAAGCTATGAAGAAAGTCCATGTGTTCACTACTTGCACCTCCCTCTGATATTGGCTTCCGCAAAGAAGCCAGCAGCAGCATCGGTAGCGATGTTTAATAAAGAAGCAGGTTTTTTTTTCGGTGAATAATAAAGTCAATGAAAAATGGATTTTTCAAGGCAACCAAAATCATGATGAATTCAAAACCGGTGAATAGTCTTGACCAAGAAGGAAAAGATGCAGAAATGTTGAAATGTTGTTGTCTCCAAAATAGACGTACGTTTCAAGGAAAAAAGTGTTACAGAATGCCCGAAATAAATCAGATTAACTGAAATATTTCCAGTGTTTCATTCAGACCACCAGTCTGAAAGCTTCGTTATCTGTATAGCTGTAGTGCTGAGCAGGTTGTGTTTTCCTTGCCCTGTTCTTCCTTTCAGTCGCTAACCTGCATGCTAGAAAGTTTAGGCGCGTGATGAAGTATCTTGCTGTGTGAGAACCTATGAGCCAAGAAGGGTTCTTAAATTGAGTCCAAAGAAGTAGAAAGGTGTAGCAAGAAAACACGCTGGCTGTTTGTACCTAACTATACCAATATGATGCCCCATTCAGAATAATCACAACTGGCACATGATTTATTGATCACAAGCTACCAGCCAGCAAATAAAAAGAGAAGAACTTGTTGAAGAAGATCCCAGATTAGTAATGGATTATGGTTCTAATCCTGCAAACCCATCAATGATTATAGCCAAGTACATGACATGTTACACAACTATTCCCTGCCTTGGAGGAACTGATGCATGTACGGTTTTGCAGGATTGGGCATGCAGACTTAAGAATGAGCGCTGGCAGATACCGGAGAGAATCAGATTGTGCGATCATTACAGTACAATAAGGATACTGGATTATAATTAGGCATTG